GCACCACGGAACGCACCGCTCAAGAATGCGAGCGGCTCGTGGCGTTGGTCGGCTGCCGGTAGACCGAGGTCCTCCGCCGGGATCTGGGTGGCGATCGCACCCCAGAATCCGTCACTGTCATCGGTGTCCAGGCAGATCACCTTGTCAGCGGCCGGATGGGCCAACGGCACCATGCGGCGCAGCGTTTCCTTGACCGACTCGGAGCATGCGGCATGCTCCGAGTCCCAGCCGACGCTGACCAGGTGGATCATGGCCAGTTGCGTCCTGCGTCGCCCCCCGGCGGCCTTCGAGGCGACCTCCATCAGCTGGAAGTACTCGGGTATGGACGCGCGCATCCAGTTGGTGGCGCGCACAAACTGCTGCAGATCGGCGGCCGTCTCGGGGACCGCCAGGTCGCAGAGGCCTTGGACTCGTTCGGGTGAGTGGGTGATCCCCTCGGCCGAGATCATTTCCCACACCATTGCACTCGGCGTACAAAAAAGTCGCATTTTTTCGGGTGCAACTTCAGGCCGAATGCCCCGCAGATGCCGAGGACGTTGGCCAGTAGACCCAACAGTTCGTCCTCGGCGGACGCATATCCCAGTAGGTCGTCAAGCCAGCCGAGGACCCCATGAAACAGGAGGTCCCCCAAACATTTGGTTCACAGCCGCCTGGCTAAAGGCCACGGTGTCGGTGCAGCCCATCAGGACTCGGGTGGGGGTATAGATCCCCATCGGCGTCATGAACGAGAACATCTCCTGGCTGTCGGGATGCAAGGGCAGCTGCTAATAGCCCTTCATCCAACCCGGCGTCCGGCATGGTCACACTCGTTCCGCCGCCAACAGCGCGGTCACCAACCCCAACGATCCAACAGACGTGTCGGACCCCCAGTCGAACAGGGTGGCCTCCAAGGGCAGGACACCCTCGACGACGCACGCGAGCTTCGGGCTTGGGGCCACCTCGGCCTTGACTTCGAGGGCGTTGACTTTCTTCGCGCCACCTAGGTTGCGGTCGGGGTTGGCGCCGGCACCTCGGCACGCGGCATCGCCAGGTGTCTTGCCCCCGGCAGAGTTACCGCGCCCGGCTCCTCGCCCACGTCCGCCATATGCTTTCTTCAACAGATCCGAGGCTTCCTCCGGAGTGGCTTTGGGGCAACTTCCGACCAGATGGTCGAGTTCCCCGCACTTGAGACATCCACCCCGGGGCTCACCGGCCGCTGCCGGCGCATCGCGCACCCGCACCGGGTGGTCCTTGTATATGCCGTGTATATGCCGCCGCCGCCGGTGCGCGCTGCACCGGCATCGCCCTAGGGCGTCTTGGTAGAGTTGATGTCCTTGGGCCGGAGACTCACGAACCTCTGGTACGAAGTTGCGTACTCCCGCAGCCATTGCACGAAGTCGTACACATTCATTTTCAAGTCCTTGTTGTGCGTCTCGCCGAGGACTTCCTTGACCTTTTCCTTCAGGCCCGCCGGCCTGATGGCATCGGTGATTAGGCCAACCATCATCTTGGCCTCGGCCTTGAGGACCCATTCCTCGTTGTTCTTCTCGATGACTTTCATCATGTCTTCAATCATCTTGCTGATCCGCGAATCCACGTCCGCGATCGTGAGGTCAAACACGATCGCGGCGCGGATGCGATCCTTGAGTTTCTGGGTGACGAAGGATTGTACATCATACCCGAGGCGGATCCAGGCGATCCACTCGGCCTCCGTCACGAGGCTGACCGGCTTCCGAAGCTCCCAGTCGGCCACGCGCGACTTCGTGGCGTGCTCGATGCACGCCGACACCGGCATCACAAACGGCTTGGTGCGGTTCGTCCGCAGGGCGTTCACTTGCTCCAGGTAGTCGTTGTACTTGCGCATAAACAGCCGGCGGTCCTCCTTCGTCATGCCATCCAACTTGGGCGCGTGAGGAATCGCCGGCGCGTTTAGACGATTCGGTCTTCGAACCACCCCATGTCATCATCATCGATCTCGTATCATATCCGTAGCCCGGCCCAGCTGCTCCGGGTGCTGCGCCCCCTGTCGGGACTCCTTAGGTTGCCGGCTGCACAGGCGTCAGCGTGGTTGGTGGTTGAATACGGGCGCCTCCACGTGGCGTCCTGCAGTTGCTGGTACCGGGAGCGCCTGCTCATCGCGCTCGGGGCTCTCGACCGTCGCGGCGATCCGCGCGCTTCGGATTCAATCCGTTCGAGGTTTATGGTTCCTTCAGAATCCATTCTTCGATCTTGTTCGTTCGCCTTCCGCGACAGCAAGGTTACCGCTTGGTTGACCAGTGGTAACTAAAGAATTCTTTGTTCTCACGCCCGGGTCTTCCACTCGGCGCGTGGGAGGCTGATCAAAGGGTG